CGATCGGGGTCCAGAATATCTACACCTTCTAACCCCGGTTGGGAAAGATCTTCTTCTTCTTCTTCTTCGAGATTATCAGGCTGATCTTCGGTTTCATAAACCCGCGACTTCTTTTGGCCCCTGCTTGCAGGATCGGATGTCCTGGCACTTGCATTCCCGATGGGAGAAGGAACGATCCGATCAGATGGCTCCCCTCCACCGAGATAGAAACCATCAAGCTCATCAGTCCGGCCCCTTGGGACGACCCTCCTTGATTCTCCTTGATAGCCTTAGAAAGATCAGGCAATTTATTCATCGGGAATGCTTCGTTGATCACTCGTTGCTCTGCTCTCGAGAAAAGATTCGACCTCTTCTTGCTCGTTCAACTTTGGCACGGAAGCTTGGAATCCAAATCACCTGCACATTTTTTTAGAAGTTAAGGACCTCTCGAGAAGCGGTTGGCGAGACGAGGCGCAAAACTACTTACCTCGGTCAATACTATCCACCACTCTACGTATACTTTCCACGCTTATGTCGGGCCACTGCTGCTGACCGTGCTCGACTAAAGCCCGCGCGTTGGAGTAGAACTGCTCCGGAATGTTCGACGAGAAGAACGGGTTGTCAAGTGCAAGAGAAGAGAGAAAACGGTCAGATTATACTTAACATTTAAAAACCGGAAAAAGCTATCTACCAGTACGCCAGTTCCAATAAGTTTGGAATTCTTCGACTGGGGGTTCACCAAAGGCGCGTTCATCAGACTTGATGAAGAAGAATCGACGTTTCCAGTTCGGAGTCTTGACCGAATGGCCAATGATTATATTGTAGTTCGTCCTCATCTTCACGAGTAGAGGCCATGGTCTAAAGGTGTTATGGACGTCAGCTCTTCGAATGCCCGACAACACAAAGATATGCCAATCTCGGCGGCCATCACCATCAGTGCGACCGCCATACGGAATGATCCGTTTACCATCTGACTAAGGGTGGACACTTTACTCGATACCCGAATTCGTACCCGAACCCGACCCAATATCCGAACCAAAATTCGAACCGAAGTAGCAAAATACCCAAACGGATATTAAGTTAGAACAGTTTGGATATCCGAACCCGAACGAATAATATCCTAACCCGAACGGGTATCCGAAGATAACCGAACATATATATATACCTATTTATTCCTAATTTATTTGTCTCATTTTATTAAAAATATTTATATTTATGTTATATATAGTTTAAGAGCAGATAATATACATATAATTGTAAAAAAAAATGATTTGTTACTCATTTGAAATGCATATTAAGCTTCTTATTTCATATTTTAGCAAAATTTGCATTCAAAATTCGAAAATAATAACCAAAATAATAAATTGTATTTCAATAATTTATTTTCCAACTTATTAATTGTCTAACTTATTAAACATTTAAAAAACTCTTAAGTTAATAATTAAATTTTAAATACATGAAACTTAAGTAATGAAGAATTTGAAATTTTTCTTTCAAATTCTAAAAATCCGAACCCGATCCGAAATAACCAAGCTCAAACTAAAATTATCCGAACCCGACCTGATATGTAAAAATACCCAAACGGTCTTAAACCCTAATACCGAAATACCCGAAAACCAGAAATACCCGACCCAAACCCGAACGGGTACCCGAACGCCCACACCTAATCTGAGAGATGGCCGTGTCGCGGCAAGAGACGTAAGAAGTTATCAGGCGAGGGATCGGAAACCAGAGTCTAGTGTGATCCTCAGAGTAGGACTGGTACACGCATTGATACCCAACCCGAGGCGAGCAGGGACGCTGCTCGTCATTCGGGATCAAATAGGTCACTCCGACAGCGTCACAAGCTATAAGCAGATCCTCGACTATCTCGATGGTTGCTTTTGTAGCATCCGTGTTCGTCCACGACTGTCCCTCAACCTTAGCAGGACGCAGCAATTCTAGAGGAATCGCAAACTCTCTCTCAAAGACCCCGCGTCCCAAATAGCGAGTCGGGACTAGGGGCAGAGCTTCCTCCCTTGCTCGTCTCGCATGATCGAATTCAAACCGAACAGGCCGAGACCGATTAGAGTTTGCTCGCCCAGATCGATTAGAATTCGCTCGCGACGTTCTATATCGGGACGGTCGAGGTTGCCTAACTCGAGGATCGTTCAACATCTCTGCCGCAGCGTTCCCTGCGTCCTCACCCCAGAGCTCTCTCTCGCTATCCACAACTAGAAGTCTTTGTGACAGACTAAGACCACCCACGTCAGTCAATGCATCCCAATGCACCAAATCAAAATTCTCCAAAGGCTCGTTAGTCGTCTCATCTCTAGCAGGACTCAACGTTGTCGCGATTTCCTTCCTCTTCTCCTCTCATGTCAGTCTTCTTCGCGGGCATATTTCACCGATGGAGTATTAATATATATATATATATATATATATCTTACAACAATCTAGAGAGAGAAAGTAGAGAGAAGGGAGAGAGAAGAATACATGTGGCTGCAGAAGAAATGGAGAGAACGAAGTGAAGAGTGATATATCTAGGGGCGAAGAGGCGCGACTCCCAGGGTTATAATTAGGTCTACTAAAGCCTAGGTGGGCCTCAGTTGCTCGTGACTCTTCGTATTCTAATGGGCCGGAGTCTGTTAAAATTGCCCATTTACACGTGATTGTTCAGATTCCTGCAACATCAGTTTGTTTCGTCCGAGCGGCGAGCAAACGACTCGACTGCCAAGCTGAGATGAGTTGACGAGTAGGCAACTGGGCTACCAAGTTGAGACGAGCAAACAATTCGACTGCCAAGTCGAGATAAGTTAAAAGGTAGGTAACTCGGCTACCAAGTCGAGATGAGCTGACGAGTGAATGATCCTCTTGATTCATCTAGTACTCGTCTCGGTAGCCACACCCGAAGCAATCTTCATATCTTTAACGCTGTTATTCAATGGACCCAATCTACTAAATCCGCTCCAGGCTTACCGAGTAATTTGACAACAGACTGAAGGGACTTACTGTAGGAGGTGGATTGCCCCTTCTTTCAGGGCCCACCGGATAACAGGAACAGCCCACTTAGAAGCGACTAGATCGACCCACCAGCCATTACGTCTCGGCTTGAACCCACAACCACAAGGTTAAGAGCCAAAATCTAATTGCCCCCGCGACTAAACGACGAGGAGCAGCCGAATGAGAGTATATTTCAGCGGGCCGTCCAGAAGGCCCTTTAGCGAGAGGCCTCTTAAGAGATGCCGACCTAGGTCATGTAGGGTGATGAGAGCACAATATAAAGGGAGAGGAGGAGGCAACGAGAGAGGGATACTGAAATCGAGCACTCACTCGCAACGCACTTAGAATTAGAGTTTTACCTCTTTGTATCTTTCCGACTTGTACTTTTCCAGCTAAAGTCTCGCCTCGTTTGTTTGCTCATTTCTACATCAACTCTCTTATCAATATACTTACTCTTGCACTCATAAATAGCAAGATGCCTTTGAAATAACCCACCGACGAGTTATGTCACTCTCTTCACTGATACACGACTGAACTCGGTTCAAATAGGTTTGGACCTCCGAATGGAATATCTGCCATAATTTTGGTCATATTGATTGTTCTTCTTCGATCTAGATTTCTCTATTATACACACATTCACAAACCACAAAAATGAAAAGTCGAATCAACTAGTTATTGTACTGATTTCTCGCCCCAAATTTCAAGTCAAGAGAACCTAGAAGTATAGTATTTGTTTTAGAACGTGTAACGAGATTGAGTTTCACACTCGAAAGATCTAGTAGATAACCAATACAAAAAATATGTCTCAAGTAAAATGTGACTTGTGGCTTTCTCACAAAATTAACTCATCTATACTATTATATAAGAAGTAAATTTGTTTAGTTGTCAAATTCTCTTTGATTTTAGGTAATTTGTTTATTTACTTTATTTACTTTATTTAAATAATTTAATATACAATTTATTATTTAATAAAAACAAATTTATATTAATAATATTATATTTTAGAAAATATGTTAATTATTTTATATTAAATTTTTATCTTAAAATATATTTTTCTATTATAAAATTCAAGTGAATTTACTGATTGCTTTGTAACTTTTCCATGATTTTTTGTAATTTTTCTTATTTGTTATATTTTTAATAATTTTATGAATAATTTATCATATAATAAAATGAATATCTATTAATAATATTAAACTTTTAGAAAATAAGATAATTATTATGTATTATATTGTTATCTTTAAAATATATTTTAAAAAATCATAGAAATTAAAAATTAAGTTGAAAGATTAATAGTTAAATATAAAGAAATCAAGGCTTATTTATCAACTTATCCAATGTTTTATATTTTTCTTATTTATCTTATTTTAATAATTTGATATATAAGTTATTAAATAATAAAATTAATGTATACTAATAATACTAGATTTAAAAAATAAGATTATTCTTATGTATTAGATTGTTATCTTGAACATATATTTTCTATTAGAAAATTTAAGTGAATTATCTGATTTGTAATTTTTCCATAATTAAGATAATTTTGATTATTTGTCACATTTTTAATAATTTCATATAAAATTTATTTTAAATAAAAACGAATTTCTAGTAAAATTATATTTTGAGAAAATAAGATACTTCTTATGTATTATATTATATTAAAAATATATTTTTTATTATAGAAATAAAAAAATTAAGATTGAAAAAAAATTATAATTAAAATAAATTAAAGAAACACATTTGTAAAAATATATTTTTAAAAATATTTTGTTACGTGAGTGTTGTCATTTACAATTAATTTTAAAACATAAATCATAACTTCTTATATTGATTTGAATTAATAAAATATAAATTAATAATAAATTGTATAGAAATTATGCCCAAATGTGCGGACAAAACATCTACTAACAAAAAAAAAAAAAAAACGGATAAGAGAACGTAAGAAATATGTAGTCCAATAGAATAGGTCCATATCTGAGCCCATTAAAATAGATGGTGTTGAGAAAAGTACACATAAAATATCTAACCAGCTTCATTCCCATCCTTGCTAGTCTAATTCAACCCAACGTTTTATAACTAGATTATCTTTCCTGGAAAGAAAAGAAAAGTCCTTCGCTGAGAAGCAAGATCTTTGTAACCTTCTTCATTTCTTTGTCCTTGACCGTCGCTTTGCTGATTATCGTGACAAGTGATTGATCATGTCGATGCTCGATTCGTTCTTCAATAAAGGTTTCAAAGCTGCAAAGTGGTAATTCTATGATGTCATCTGTTTGGTTTAGGTGTTTTCTAGCCAATTATCAATCTGGAAAACCAAAGAAGATTCTATGTGTACTTTTATGTGAATTATTTGCTGTATCTGAATCTGACAGCAAAACCTTGCTCAAGTTAACGATCCCTCGGATAAAGCTAATCAGGAACCGAAGAGAAGCACAGATTAAGCAAATGCGGCGTGAAATCGCTAAACTTCTCGAGACTGGTCAAGAAGCCACTGCTCGGATTCGTGTAATGGTTATTGATTTAGTTTAAATCGTTTTATACCTTTTTTTTTGCTTTCTCTAACTTTAAGTTTCTAATAGGTTGAGCATATTATAAGGGAAGAGAAGATGATGGCTGCTCAAGAGATACTAGAGCTCTTCTGTGAGCTCATTGCTGTTCGCCTTCCTATTATAGAGGCTCAAAGGTTCTAACTTGAGAAAACTCTCAACTTCAGTTTGCGTCAGTCAATAGTATGTATGTGTTTTCTTTCTGAATCCTTCCCTTTTGAAAATTCTTTAGGGAATGTCCTCTAGATCTAAAAGAAGCGATATCAAGTGTATGTTTTGCTGCGCCAAGGTGCTCTGATTTGACTGAGCTTCAGCAGGTTCAACTACTATTTGTTTCCAAGTACGGCAAGGAGTTCGTTGCAGCTGCATCTGAGCTCAAGCCGGATTCTGGTGTCAATCGTAAGGTAACTTGGCTAAGAGAGACCGACATGTAGAAAGTTGAAAGAAAAATCTATATAGATTAGTAGAAATACGAGAACTGTTTGTGTTTATAATATTTTTCCAAATCAATTTTACAGTTGGTGGAGTTGCTGTCTGTGCGTGCACCTTCCCCAGAAACTAAACTGAAACTTCTCAAGGAAATTGCACAAGAGCATCAACTTGATTGGGACCCTGCTTCTACAGAAACTGATCTCTTTAAATCCCATGAAGATCTCCTTGTCAGCACTTTTCTCTTTATTATCTCTTCTCTGCCTGGTCAGATTTGCTTTGTTTGTTCAAATCCTTTTTCCTTTCTTTCTTTTCAGGATGGACCAAAGCAATTTGGTGGAGGCTCTAAGGTGCCATTAAAGGAGGAACAAGATAAAGGGTCACATTTGACAATGTTATCTCTTTCACGTCCAGAGGAACAATCTGATTCTGACTCGGAGTCTGAACAATTAGACTTCCCTGAGGTCCCAAATGTCTTGCTGCGGCCGAGTCCAGCCCCTACCCCTGAAAGTGCAGCGAAACCTGCCGCTACTTATGAACACACCTCTCCCGACTTGCCCTTTGATTCAGAGAATGCAGGAGAGGATAATCTGGCTTCCAGAAGAGATGAACATACTGCAAAAGCAAGCAGCACTGTCGTGGAAGGCCAACCAACTTCGACGGAATCTGATCCCGTGAAACAGAACAGTTATTCTCCACCATCTGTTGGTGTAGTAGGATCCCACTCTACAAACGAGAGTGATGCTCCAAGGAAAATATCCGATGTGGACTTGCAGGATGTCCTAACGGCTGCTCAAGCCGCTGCTGATTCAGCGGAACGTGCGGCAGCAGCTGCCCGTTCAGCTGCAAGTCTTGCACAGCTCAGAATCAATGAGCTCACGAAGAAGACACCTGACCACTCTCCTGAGAGCCCGACTGAGAACCCTTTCTATTCAAGCCCACCACAACAGACAACGGAAAACCCACAATTTGATCATCGGAGTTCATCGGTCGGAGATCATACTGAGTTCCAAATGGCAGAGACTTCATCACTTTTCAGCCGCGAAACAGAGAGACTCCCCTCAATGGAAAAATCGCAGTTTGATCATCAAAACTCATCAGCCACCACCTATGGAGATCTTACTGACTTCCAACTAGGTGACTATTCATCACCTTTTAACCATGAGTGGAACAACCACCAAGCAGGGAGACTCCCTTCTATGGAAAAACCTCGGTTTGATTATCAGAATTTATCAGTCAGCAGCTATGGCGATCTTACAGAGCTCCAAAGACCAGAGACCTCGTCATTTGACAGACTCACCTCTGACCAGGACCACCAGCAAATGAGACTACCTTCCAGGGAAGACGATCCATATTACTCATACCCTAATCTGTTCACATCGCAGAATCCTGACCGCTCACCTGGCTCCCGTTCATTTTCAGACACTTCAAAAAATCTGCCCATGATTCTTGACTCTCAAGTGAAAATGTTATAATGGAAGCTTGGTGTTTTTTTTCGGTTTGTTACATTTATGCTGTTCCTTATCTTGTGGAACAAAGAGCTCAAACTCTTTTTGAACTGCTTTTCCTTTTTTCTTGTGTGGAAAATTTGTATAATTTATAGAAACTTGTTGTGATTGATTATGTTCATGTAAATTCTCTCTCTGTCGAGTTTCCATACAGACCGGTTAGTCGAAGATAATCTATGAAACCCATAGTAAAAATATCGGTGGCTCGGAAGGAGACGAGGAATGCTTTGTCGGGGTCATCCCCAAACCGAATCACTGCAGGTAGTACTAGTTTGAGTCGGGTTCGAGATTCGGCTCCCGATGAAGTGGAAAGACCTAGTGAATCTTCAGGGCTAGGTCAGCAGGGGAAAAAAAGGTGTTCCTTTTGCCCGATTCGCTACCACTCGGATGACACTTGCGAGGAATTTCCGCCCCTGGCTTCTGATATGGAGCGCCCAGCATCGGTGGAGGATCAATCGTGGCCGAACATAGAGCCATCCTCGCCGTCGGTTGGTAGGATAAACTTGATGTTGAGTGAATTCAGGGATACTGGTGTGATGTTCCTCATCCCGAAGGATGGCCAATGGCCATGGGCTCCTCCGGTCAGGTAACAATGTGACTATGAGTCGTACATTCAGAAGGACACGCGGCTCTGGTTCCCAATTCCCCGACTAATAACCTCGTTCTACTTTCACCGATAACCCCCGATCAGCCAATTTATTAACGGATCGTTCTGGATCGCGGTTGAGCTGATGGTGATGGCAGTAGAAGCTGACTTTTCTCTAAGTGTCATGTCGTTCGAGGAGTTGACTTCGATGCAGTTACTGCCGAGCGGTTTTCTTTCGGTGAAGATGTGACCCAGTCTTAGCATCATTGAATGTCACCCAAACAAGACTGAAGACTGACAACACCATTAGTTTTTCCTTAAGTCTGACGAGGGTGCCTTCTAGGAACCACTGAAGGACGACTTCCGGGTGCTATGGATTCGTTCGCCTGGTAGATAGTCCTTACCTTCTTGTCTCTTAGTATTTGTTCTGCCTGCTTCTTTTGTCATTTGTTTTGCAGTTTCGCATCCTACAACTAAGGAGTACCCCAGGAATTTTCTCGATGCCGCTTTGTCAGTAGAATTTCTGTCCCATCAGTGCTAAGCCGATATCACTTATGAAAAGTTGACCAGTACCACGACCGTATTTCGATTGGTAAGAGTCTGTTCGTTTTCTTTATGTCTTTGCTTCCCTTTGGAATTTTTTCCCTTCGTATTTTTACTGATGTGCTATCCATGTAGGTGACTGGAGATCTTACATCCTCTGCACTCTGACCAATGGAAGCGCCTGCAACTCTTCCTGAAGAGTGGAACAACGAGCAAAAAAAGAAGAAGGGAACATGGAAGATGACAACGAACTTCCTCGATCTCAGCTCGCTGATCGATGACGATCTTGGGTTAATAGGGGACGACTTAACCGATAGACCTACCCCCTCCCAAAAGGAGGATCTCCCTGCGGTGGGTACGTTTGTCGAGACTTCTCAGGACAAACCCGAGGAGCCTCAATCCGTATAGGTGGCTAAGCCGAAGAAGAAGAGAAAGAAGAAGCCAAAGGCTGATGTTGACCCGGCGTGTCCCTCCGAACCGCGGATGAGGGTATCTTAGGATCTATCGAGGAGAAATCACCTGAGGAGCCTCCTCGTAAAATAATGTGAATCTCCGAACCGCGGATGAGGGTATCTTAGGAGCTATCAAGGATAAATCACCTGAGGAGCCTCCTCGCAAAGTGATCCTCCTCGTGGAGTAGGAGGAACAAGATAATCTCGCTGACCCAACCACCGACTGTCGTAATGACACCGCCCGGAAGGATTCTCCCGATATCCCTCGTGAGCTTCCCAAGAAGAAGGAGAAGAAAAAGAAGAATTCAGGTCATGAGAGACAATAGGCTAAGGTAGTGGCAACTGGTGAAGGCAAGAAACTCCACCTGTAGGTACCACATCTCTTGTTTTATGGAGACATCGTTCGAAGAGAGAGCGATCGCTGCTCCAAGGCCCCGACTTAATTTGATCCGACGGGTCAAGAAAAGGTCGAGGAGCGCGATGGACACTGGTCGTCTGACTTTCGCCGTCGAGTATGTGGATGTAGCAGACAACCCACTAAGGTTAGAATCTCCTAGCTCACAATTCGGGGTTTTATCTTTTCTTCATTTGGTTTGCTGATTTACTTGTCCGATCTCTGCGCAGCTTCACAACCGAATGGATAATGTCATCAAGAAATACGACGTTGCTCTCAAGAGGTCACGGAGACTGAATGTAGTCAAGTTCTTGGCGATCGAGAAAATCATGAGAGAAAGGGGACGGGCATTTGATGAGCCCGCTGTAGCCGTGAAACGAAGGGACGGTGTGGTTTCCCGGCTGCAAGGGGAGAGGATGAGGGTGGACCTCCTGGAGAAAAATCTGGCCCTTGCTCATGAAGCCACAGAGAAGGCTTTGAGGGAGAAGACCATGCTGGAACAGGAGAATAATAGGCTCCAGCAAGAGAAAGCTTTGCTAGTCGAGGAGATGGCTTGGGAAATGGCTCGGCTAAAAATATCCCAAATCCATGGGCTACGAAGGAGAGAGTGAGGGTTAAGACGGCCATGCTTTCTCAATGTAACAGTCGTTTTGACTGTATTCGAGATCATCAGGCTCGCCGCAATCAGTATGAACAGAAGTGCAGTCTCCTAGGTCAGGCTTCCGGGGTAAAGAACTGCATGATGCTTCTGAAGGATAGGGGCACAGACATTCCTCAGTCGAAGATCGACATCTTCGCTTCGAAGGAGACTCAGTTCAAGGAGTTGGCCGCCAACCTAAAGGTCAAAGATATACCCGAAAGTGATCTCTCATTATCGCTGTGCTGCTTTGAGTCTCGACTCTTTAATGAGAGTCTCTTCGCAGGTCTTGAGTCATTTGGGTCGAATGCTTGCTTGATCGACGCCGAGGCCAAGGCTCACCTTCATACTCTGTGGAACTCCCAATCTAATCTGACGTCGAACAAAGTCGCTGCGAACCTGGTCTCCGAAACTCCCATCGTGCTATCAGATTCTGAAGCTCTGAGCAAAGTGGCTTGGATGCAAGATGAAGGAATGGTCGAGGAGTGACCCTCATATTGTTGTTATAATTCTTCTCTTTTTATTCATTTGTTTGAGTTTTCGGACCTTTTGTTGTAACCTTCAGATGAATCAAATATATATATATATATATATATATATATATTTTTTTTTTTTTTTGCTCGGAGATTCAGATTATTTGTTTTTCAGTTTTCCTGAATCAATCAGTTTTATGTTGTTTCCCTCTCCTTCGGGTTCTCGAAAATTCACCCTTGTGTATTGAATTTTTCCGAGAGCCACCCCCCCCCCCTCTTTCCTTTTTGATCAGGTAGGGGATTTGAGATGTTCCCTTAGATCTCTCCTCTTTGTTTGAAAACCTTTACCCCTGAGGTCGTCTCGTGGGTGTCCATTCGGGGCCCGGCCTGGTAAAAGGTAAGACTAATCGTCTGTTTGATGCCTCAGAAAATGAAGGTTCCCAATCGTTTTAAGGTGGTCCTGCAGGGTTTTCGGTTGGCCAGTCCGTTCCTAGGGATCTTAGTAGACCAGAAATCGTTTTCCGTTGCCATGAACCAGGATTGATGGTTCGCGACTAGGGTTGAGTGCATCTATACTTGATCAGGGCATAGTCGAACTGCACGCGAGTGCCCGTACGCGGTCCGCTGCTCGGGGTACTTCCCTTGCGTAGGGGCGTAGGCATCGTAGTAGTTTGGGGTTCATTTATTACCAAGGCGTTTCTCGGGTATCTCAACTTATCGTTTTGAGAAGAGAAGAGAGTTGTTTTTTATTGAAGTGCGACTGAACCCAATGAAGGGCTGCCTCGTACCCCCAAGAGGGATCAAGCCACTTGTAGTTTGATTTGCTCGAGTAGAAATGACCCGAGGGTGCGTCTACTCGGTCTTTTTATTAAGTGTGATTGAACCCGATGAAGGGTTTCCTACGTACCCCCGAGGGGGGATCAAGTCGACTACTGGCTCGTTTGAGCTCTATTTGTGTTCACAGGTCTGCCGGTGGACTCTTAGCATCCAGTTGGCCGGGGTTCTTTTGCAGGAACTTCTTCATTCGATCACGCTTTACATGATCAAGTTTTCGCCATTGATCAGAGGCGTTCAGGCGGCTAATTTGTGCCCATAAGTCAGCGAGTTGGGCGTTGAGCTTGGCGCGCAGGTCGTGATTGAGAGGGAACACTTCCGGGATTTTTGTGTAAGGGATTAGGCCGGCATGCTCGACACTTTCCCCGCTGGCGAGAATCTCCCCAGGGTGACGCATCACTTCTAGTGTCATGACCTGTGAGGCTCGGGCTTTTCGTACGAACTAACGACCGGCGCAGTCAGGATTACTTGGATGCGCCTGCGGTTTCTGGGATGCTCTTCCTCAGGGGTATTATTACGATCTCAAGCGACATCATTATCTTCAGCTGCTCGGGGCTCATCATGTTCTCTTTCGTCTGGGGCCTGCGTACCTTTTTCTCTTTGTTCTTTCGTCCAGTTCTTCTGGCTACCATTTGGATTTGGTTTTGGTGATTCGATCTTAAAGACACCCTTTGCCCAGTAGGTTATGGCTTCGTGGAGATGCATGTATTCGCGGCCGCCATGCATTTTCATTTTGTGGTAAGTACAATACTTTTTCGTGTCGGCCGGGCCGGAGGATCCGTCGTTGACCTGTTGTTTATTGTCTGTCAGGCAATCCCAGTGATTCCATCCTTTCTCCCGGACGACCACCACAGACCCTAGCAAATTGTCTTCGTTGACGATGTGCATGAAGCTCTTCCTTCTGTTGGATTGTGACCCAATAGACTGTTGACGCGGCTCCTGCTCAGTGTCGGCCTTCTTGGGCACCGCTGGTGTGGAGGCGTTCTTCTTTCTTAGGATCGCCTTGGTCCTCTTCCATTTTAATGAAGTTATGGGACCAAGCGATGGCATCCTGGAGTGAGGATGGGATGTTCCTATAGAGCTGACGGCGTTGAAAAAAAAAAATATATATATATATATATATATATATATATTTTTTTTAATTTCCTTTTGATTGCAACCACAACTATTTTTTATTTCTCTTTATCTTTAACTTAAAACCACAATTTAACTTGACAATATTTAGTTTTCTTTTGTTTTTAAAATATATTGAATATAAAATAACAAAATACTATTGATTGGTGAACCTACACGTAACGCATAAATATATATGGTAGAAAAGTATCATATTTGGGTCGGTTAGGTTTAATAAGTTCGATTTAGTTAATTCCCTTCCTATTTTCTGGTTAAAGTATATCGAAAATGTAAATGAAAACAAGTTTTAGTGAATTTCAATCCAATCTATCTGGTTTTAGTGAAATAAAAACTTTGCTATCAGGTTCTAATTCGATCTGATTCTTAATTTTAGACAAAACTTAATTTAAAATTGTTTAGATTACAAAATTTAGGCAATATAATAAATAAATAAAAAATCATTTTTGAATATATTTTCATAAATATATATAAATCAAATATATTTTATTATTTGAAAATTTTCTTTTTTTAACTAATTTTTAGTTTTATGTCAATTTTCTAAAAAGAGTATATCAAGAAATGTCATCAAAACAATAACCAAGAGCTTTGAGATATTTGCCTTGTTTGTTTAGCAGTAGAATGAGTTATGCATTATTAAAATTAGCATTAACAATAACATGGTAAGACTTCTCAAAGAAGAAACCGTATTTTAGGCCAGCTGGAAGTGGCTTGAGTTCAAATTTTGTTACTTTTTTATGTCATATTTGGCTGTTGGGTCAAAATCGGTCATGGCATAAACTTTTCTGAGAAATTGTGTCTTAAGAAAATATGATCCAGAAATTTCAAACAAACTATATGGTATAAGATGAACCTATTTAAATAGGACATGAAAAAAAACTATATATTTCATCCCGAACAAGAAATGAAAGAGTCTATCCAAACATGAAAAAATTCCATAAAACAACTTTCGAAAAATCTTTACAGAAAAACTTACATAAATTAAATCAAATAGAATGAGATCAAAAGAAAGGGGCCACCTCACCACACATCACCTCATTGCCACACAATGCTCCATACACACAAGGTTCATCATAGCCACACAACTATCTCATCACCCCCACAGCTCTCTTGCCCCACACAACTCTCTCATCGCCGCACTCAAGCTCTGTCATCGGCACAAAGTGTTGTCGTCGCCACACTCAACCTCTATCGTTGCCACACAGCTCTCTCATCGCCCCACAGCTCCTCTCATCGCCACACAGCTCTCTCATCTCCACCGAGTTGGTTTTCAAGTTCAGAATCTTCCTAGGATTAGACTAGCATTTTGTTAAAAAGAAAAAAACCAAACCTATATAACTGTAGTCTACCATACGCACGAGACAAATTTTAATTTCAGCTTTAGATTTATTTGTTTATAAAGGTAGTAGACTAGTAGTACACGTATACTAAAATTCAACGTATCTATTGGCCATTGTTGTAGTCCATTTTATCTAAGAATAAGAGAGGCGGGGATGCAACAACCTTTGCGAACAATAAAAACTTTAAGCTTGTTTCAGACACAGGAGCTATTACTAGTACAAAGAAACTTCGGCTTAGCTGCATTGTTGGAATCTGCTCTCTGGTTTATCAAGCTTGCAGATTCCTACTGATACTGTTGGAACTGAGTTCGGTCTTATTAGTAAAAGAGTAACTGGACTCGTTTGTGGGATATTTCAAAGGTGCTTTACTATTTATGAGTGGAAGAATAAGTTTACTGATGCAACAGTTGGTGTACAAAAAAGCAAATAAGCGAGACGAGACGGCGTTGTTCGGAGAGCTCGGCCGTGAGAGTACAAGTCGAAAAAGTACAAGGAGGTGAAAACCTTAGTTCTAGTCGCGTTGCAAGTGAGTGCTCAATTTCAGATCCTTTCTTGTTGCCCTCTCTCTTCCTTTTATAGCAGCATTCCCTTGACCTAGCGAGCTGGTCGCATGTATAGAGGGCCTTTCGCCAGATGGACCGTCGTCGACCCGCTAAGGTAAGTACCTCAGCTAAGCGTCAAATCGGTTAATCGTGGGGATGAGCCGAATTAAGCTAAACTGGTTGCTAATCAATGAGGTGTTACCTCGTTGGGCCGGAGTCCTCGTGGACCGAGCCCATTATTCAGTGGGCCTTATGAAGGGGAGTATTTCACCACCTACAGTAAGTCCCCCAGATCCGCTGCCGAGTTATGACTTAAGTCGGGGCAGATTTTGTTGATTTGGTCTATTGAATAATAGGGACGGTTAGTACGCTCCAATGTTCTTTCGGGCATGGCGTGCGTTATGTTGTTAGATCGTCGCTCGGATGCCAACACGCTCGCTGAGTCGTTAGCTCGATGGCTGGTTGCTTCGACAACTATTAGATCGTTAGCTTGGAGCTTGGCTTTGACATGCTTGTTGAGTCGTTAGCTCAGAGCTTGTCTTCTGCATGCTTGCTGAGTCGTTAGTCTGAGATTGGCTTTGGCATGCTTGCTGAGTCGTTAGCTAGGAAATTAGCTTTGGCATGCTTGCGGAGTCGATAGCTCGGAGATTGGCT